TATGAGCCATATATATATATATATAATGGCTGGGTCTTAAAGGCTTGAAGTTAAACAAGTGGCCAATTAGCAGGGAAGCAATAAAGCCCACATGGAAGAAGCACATCAACTTGTGTGATCAAGAAGTGTCTACAGGATCAAGTATCATGCATCAGAAGATCCCAAACAAACAACCGTTTTGATGGGAACAAGGAGGTTTGGGATGGAGACTCAGAGCCCATCTGTAGACAATTAGACATCCCCTCACAGAAGGGTCACAAGGAAGGGATGAGCCAGCATGCAGTATAGCACTGACGAAACACACAACATTCCTCAAGTTATTTAATGCTTCCTCCACCCCACTATCATGACCCCAGTTCTATCTTACAAATCTGGCTAGACTGGATGCATGTACACTGCAGAATCCAGGACAGATAACCCCTCAGGACCAATAATGAGAGTAGCAATACCAAAGGGGGAGAAAGGGGAAACCAATTGCAGTGATTGAGGTACTTGCCCCACCCCCACCCCCACCAGGGGGATAAACAATAGAAACATGGGTGAAGGGGGATAGCAAATGGTGTAAAATATGAAAATAAAAATAATTTATAAATTATCAAGATTTCACGAGGATGGGAGGTTGGGGGAGGGAGGGGAAAAAGAGGAGCTGATACCAAGGGCTCAAGTAGAAAGAAAATGTTTTGGAATTGATGATGGCAACATATGTACAAATGTGTTTTTTGATACAATTGATATATGGATTGTAATAAGAGCTGTAGAATCCCCCAATGAAATGATTTGTTAAAATATTTTTTTAAATTAAGAGATGCCCTACATCAGCAACATAACAAAGAAACCCAGTCTCAAATAGGATTATAACTAACATAGACAGGGTTTAAGATTTACAATACATATTGTATATGTATTGTATATATATTGTACTATTCAATCTGTAACAGAAGCTAACACTAGGAAAGTGGCATATTATATAAAAAGAACTTACTTATCATATTTGTTACATAGCACAACCCTATATGGGAAGTATAATTATTCCCATTTTAGAAGAAGAAACTAAGATACAGAAGCATTAAGTAGCCTATTCAAGATTGTTCATTAGGTCCTCTGGCTCCTGAGTGAGTCTATGCTCCCTTCAAAGCTACACTTTCCAGGGGGAGAATCAGGGGGAGAAGGCTCCCACTTGCAAGAGGATGGCAGAAGGGGATTTCCAGAGGCCAGGTAGTGTTGGGCATCACTCCCTCTCCTCAGGACTGAGCAGGGCGGGGCAAGGCTGGTTACCTTAGTGGACACATTGTTTGTGGTCCAGTCTTCCCAGGCCTCTACTAAATCATCACCAATCTGGCAGAGTCACAGGCCTCCGGGGTCCATGTGTCTTCGAGGGTCTTCCTTGTATTAGTCTAGGTACTTTGGGAGAAACAAATGCACAGCAACTCATGTATAAGAGAGTTTTATGTAAAGAAAGTGTGCATCATGAAAACATCCCAACCCAATGCTGCCCAAGCCCACAAGTCCAACATTAATCCATTAACCCAACACCAGTCCACAAAGTCCTCCACCTCACAAAACAGAGGCAATGACGCCGACTGCAGGAGGAAAGCTGAGTCAGTTAACGTATAAGCATCTCAGCACTAGCAGGGGTCTCCACACGGCTGCTCCAGCACCCAGGGCTGCATCGGGATAGGTCCATGTAGCTTCTCCTTGGGGATGTCTTGTAGGAAGTCAATCTTGCAAGCTGAAGTAGGGAACTGCTAAGGCAGCTGCACCGGGTGCAACCATCACAAAACAAGAGACCAGAGAACTAGAAAGGCGAGGCTCACCACCCACTTATCCCTCTGCCTTTCAATTAGCCCCACATGTGATTATTGGCCAGGCTGGCACAATTAACTAACTCATTCCCCATCACCTCAGCAGCACAGCACTCTCCCCACTTTTAGCCTAAATCATAAACCTTCACAGGTGCCAGTGCAAGGACTTATGCTCTGATTTCCTCTGGGAGGTGTTGGGGAGTATGGGAAGGCTTGATCTTTTCAATAGGGGTCCTGGGGATAGGAGTGTGGGAGTAGGAAAGTGGCCCCTCCCAACCCAGCCCTCCTGTACTGTGAAGGTGTGTGTGTGTGTGTGTGTGGAATGTGGGGGTGGGGGGTGAAAGGCTCCATCACCCCTTCTGCTATCTTCTGTCCTGTGGCCTGGCATGCCCCCCACCCCACATTGCTTCTTTGAAAATCCTGAATGAAAATTAGCCCCCATGTCATCTCCATTGCTATTTCTCGCCCACAACTCTGCCAGCTCCAACTCTAAATTTCTCCATCATCATCTGTTTAAGGGAATCAGTTCCTCTCTCCCGTGAGAGAATTCCATTTCTGGTTTTGTTTTCCCTACCCTGAGGTTCATTTCCTTAAATCTCCAGACTTCCTTCTCTTAGCCCACCTTCACCTGTTCCCCCAGCCAACCTCCTCTTCAGGAGGGCCCCTGGACTTCTTAGAGTAGGCTGGGGCTGTGCAAACATTCTCCCTGACCATTTCCAAGCAGGACACCAGACATTACACCGCTGGGTACTGCAAGTCTGGGCTCAACGGGGCCCCAGAGACAGTGAGCTAAGGCTCCCCAGTCCTTTCCCAGTCAGGATAGATTCCCGCGCGGTGCCAAACCAGAGGGTTGGCTTCCTGCACAGTGGGTGGAATGAAACCTTGCAGCCACTATCCGAGAAATGCTGTGAGGGTTTCTGGACACCATTTCTTTGTCAGACAACCCCCCAAAACAAAACCCTATGCCCCATCCTAACCCCCCACCCCCCACCCCCACTCCCAAGGGACAGATGGACTCTGTTTAATAACATTTTCGTTTGCTAGGTGCTGACCGAGTAGATGCTTAAAAACAAAAGCATCAACTAACATATGGAGATGCCATCATGATGAAACAGAATATTATAGTCGAAGACAGCATGATGATGCTCTAAGCAACCACTCCCTCCCACCCCCCACCTCCACCTCACCAAGAAAAATCGCTCCCGAATACCCAGCTGGTGTTCCCAAGGCTGGCGTTCTTCCGGCTTTTTCCAGAAGCACTTGTGCGTGCTCCCTGGTTCGGGAATTGAGAGACTGGGCAAGTACATGCTAACAGGGTACCAAACTTTTGGCAGGCTCCCGGCAACTGGGTGCTCCTTAGAGCTGGGAGCCGCCTCCCTCTGGAGTGCCCCTGGTAGTGCTCCGTGCAGGGGCTCTCTCTCCAGCTAGGCGTCATATGGGATTCACGGATGGGAGTGGTCCTTTGGATTTCATCTTGTCTGGAGAACAAACAGGACAGCACCACAATCCCTCCTCCCTCTGCACCCCCTCCGCCCCCCCGCCCACTTTCCCAGTAGAATGATTTCTAGAAGTACCTGCTGCCAAAAGGCCACTGTCTGCAGGAGCCTTCTGGCTGCCCTGGCGCCCCTAGCGCCAGCAGCTTCTCCCACCAAAGCCAGCGGGGGTGGGTGAGGTGTGTGTGTGGGTGTGTGTGTGGGTGTGGGTGTATGTGTGTGTTCCATTCTTTCTGTAAGCGAAGTCCCCAGGTCCCAGCGCTAGTTCGACCCACGCTCCCCCTCCTCCCCGCGTTGGGTGGAACAGAATCGGATGGGAAGAGCTGGTAAAAAGATTGGAATAGACCCTCCTGCCCTCCTGCAACTGCGGTCCCCCCCCCCTCCTCCAATGCGTAGTTGCAGCTCTTTCCATGTGTAATTCCAATTCCACGGTTGAATTGGGCTGAGAATCATCTTGTTTAAACCTGGGCCGAAAATAACCATCGAAATCTAACGTCCCAAACGAAATTCTGTTTCCCCAAACGAGCATTTCCTGGTAGGTGAGTGTCGGGCGCCGGCAGTGGGGGGAGGGGGTGTCCCTTCGGGTTTTGTTTGCGGGGCGGCGGGACTGGCTGTGGAGGTGGCGGGTGGCAGTGCCCGAGGCGGCCGCGCAGGCTGGTGGCTTTTCTAGATGCTGCCGGTAGTGCTCCGGGCGCCGGGTCGCATATGTTGCTGGAATTCAGTCCGTGGGGAGAATGTAGATTGGGCTGCAACCCCCTGGGTTTGATTTATGAATTATGGCGCTAGCGATTGTTTACACATAGCATTTCGGAGTCGCAGCACACACTCCTGGGAGGGGACCGGCGCTGCAAGGAGGGGCCGGCCACCAGCCCTCGGTGTGCCGCCCTGCCCCACCTCCCCTTAATCGGATTTCGATTTTATTGAACTCAGAGGTCCCAATTCCTTTCTCTAGCCCCCCACCCCTCCCCACCCCCAGTTAGCGCTCCAGGCCGACCTCCCCAGGACTAGACAGCCTGGGCTGCTGTTTACTCTCAAATGTTTACTTCTGTGTAAGGCCATGTGGGGCCTATAAATAGGAGAGGTGGAAGCAGCTTCTCCTGCTGGATCAATAAAGCCGCGTCGCCTCGCCTTTTCAGCTGAGCTGTCTTATTAATTATGAAAGGATTCACCTGATCCTGCCTGGGAACACAGCCACTGGGCGCCTCTGCTGCAGCCCTTAATGGCGGTTCCTTACAAAACTGCCTCCAGTTACCGCAGAGGCCCTAAGAAGGGACCGTGGTTAGGGCTCTGCCTGCAGGAGTGGCCTCTACCCGCGTGGGGTGGGGGCCGCGGTGGCCACCACCAACCAACTTCGAGTGCAAATGAGTCCTGCCTAAGGTAGATTATTCAAAAGCAAGCAAACTATCTCTCGTTCTCTCTTCATTAAGCAGAATTTCGTTGAAATGGCGAAGTGTCCGAGTTGACACCTTACCTGCTTGAATGCAGCGGGCGATCCTGCCACCATTTCATATTTTTAAAATGGGGGTGGGTTTGCCAGTTTCTTGTTTTTGGGTGAAGACGACTAAAGCTGAGGTCAGATTTTGGCTGTGCTTGCTTGCTTTGATCACTTAGCAAATAAAATGCCAGGAATCAAAGGAAACCCTTTGGGCACCAGGAGAACGTGGCTGAGAAAGCAGGTTTGGTGTAGGAAACAAAAGACAACCCATTTCAAACAATAACTTTTATTTTATATGTCTCTAGACTTTGTAGCAAATTTTTTTGCTGAATTTAATTTATAATAAACTTTTTAAATTACATCTCTTTTTTTTAAAATCAAGGCTCTTTTATGTCAAAATCTTTTTTTAACTATATTTTAGATTAACAGTTAACATCCCCCCCCCCCTTGTGATCTATACCATTGGCTATTCAGGTATTACTGTATGTGTAACAGCTAAAACAAGAGGGAGGAGAGAAAATAAAGGCAGTGAACTTGGTAAGATGCATGGACAACAGCAGGTAAAGCTAACCCCTCACGAACATTAGCAGCATTCCTAGGCAGCTTTCCCTTTCTGTCAGAGATTGCCTCAACCCTTCCTCTCTCTCTCCTCCTACCTTCTCCAAAACAAAGCCAACAATCTGTCTCCATTTTCTGGAGGAGAAATGTGCAGTGGAAATGATCAAAACAAGATACTGTGGCAGAAAGACGTGAGCGTCAATTATTCACCACATGCTTCCCACGTGGAGATCTTTCTTGAATTCATTGCCCGTGGCCTTCTCCTATCCTCATTCCTATTAGAAGGAGCCCATCATTTCCCATGTATTAACATGATTAATATATTAGGTGGCCCAGGGCCGTTCCTGAGATTCTTTTGCCAAAAATAAATAACTTAATTAAAAATTTTAAAATGGGGGTGGGTTTGCCGTTTTCTTATTTTAGTGTGAAGACGGACTAAAGCTGAGGTCGGATTTTGGCTGTGCTTGCTTCCTTTGCTCACCGATTGGTAACATTTGGCAAATAAAATACAAGGAATCAAAGGAAACCAAAAAAGAGAACCAGGATTTCCCATAATCCTATATGAGTGTTTTCAGCATCACAGAGAATCACAACGTCCCCAAAGAACGAATGGATCTTCCTCTTGATTTCCAGGAGCATGGAGTGAGTGTGGGTGGGCGCGCGGGGGGAGCTAGCCCCGCTCAGAAGGAAAGCCAGGTCGCTAAAGCTGCCGAGAGAGAAGCCAGGAGCACGCAGAGCGCCGGGAGCAGGGACCCCGCGGCCCCGTTGCTGCCGCCGCAGAGTTCGAATAAGCTGCCCTGGATGTTGAGGTTTTTGGATTCTTTTCTCAGTTTATCCCACATATCTTTTGCCCCTTCCTGGCAATCCGTAAGGGCTGTGACCGTGCAGCTGTGGAAATCCTCCCAGTATCTGAGGAACAAAACAGAACAGGACAGGCAGGTTCACTTTGGGTACCAGGAGCACCCCAGGCCTGCGCCCCTGCGCCTCCCCTTGCCCCTTGCGGCAGGGC